AGGACTTTAATATCACCAACCATTCCCATGTTATTACGGTGTATCCATATAAATGGCCCACAATGTACATTTTGGGGCATGTAATCTGTAATCTGTAGTGGAATACATTTTAAAAGTAACCTTCCCAACACTGTGTGTCACCCAATCATTAATTACCATGTATGAAGGCATATACACACATAGAACACACACACAGATTTGATGTTGATGCACGTCACAGCCCTCCACCAGCAGCAATCTTGTGGTTGTCTTATTCTTCTCAGTTAAAAGAAAAAGGTGTATCAGAGCACTAAAGTGTTAAATAAAATCAATAAACTATTATAAAATATGTGTACATTTATATTTTTTCTTAATGTTCCTGTTGGTTACTTCATAATGTAATGGGTTAGAGGTGTGCCTAATAAACAAATAATATCCAGTTCAGTCTCAGGAGGAGACGCCCTTTGCGTTGTGTTAGGAAGAACATCCAGTGTTCAAAATATGGGTAAGGGAGCAGTTGAAAATAACTTTTTATTTTTATTGTTTCTATTCACATAGACTCATATTCATACTCATATTCTCTAGATGGGTAAAAACCCTAAAAACACTGGCTATAGTTTTTCATTACCTATAAATCATGCAACATTTTGAGTGTTAATGCATTCATAACAATTTTTCTTGCCTTCCAGATAACAACTGGCTGTGATTTCTTGCTATAACAAAAGTAAATCAGCAAACTCTACATTTGTAATCTGTTAAATAGAATATCAAGTGAGCATTTTGAGTACATTAAATAGCTAGCCTATAAAAACATATAAACAAGAAAGAACGGTTAATTAACACTGATTAATTAACTGAAGTCATTTTCTGTCAGTATATAATATCTGTGGGCTTGTGTACTGTAGTATCAATGATAAATCACCAATATTTGTCATTTTCCCTTGGTTTATTGGAAAAAGTAAGTACATAGCTACATGGGATACATCATAGCAAGTTTCATGAAGTGCAGCTGAACACTATGAAATAGTGAGTAAATGGTCTTAAATGACAGATCTTAGATTTTTTTTGTTGAATAAACACTAGTATTTATATACTTAGGTTATATAATAACTAACTAGTTAAATAAATAATAAACTAGAGGGTTATATGATAGAGCATCTATCAATCGGCGGATCAATCAGTGGCTCCTCCAGCCCATGAGGGAAAGTATTCTTGGGCAAGATACTGAATTGCGAGTTGTCCCTCCATGTGACTGTGTGAATTGATGTTAGTTTTAAAAAGGGTGGGGGTGGGGGTGGGGGTGCGCTGTATGAATGTGTGTGTGATCGTGTGAATGAGACCAGTAGAACGCACTTTGTTCAATCAAACTGAGTAGAAAGGTGCTATACAGTATACTGGAAGTACCAGTCTATTTCTGGCCTTTTAAAAGCCAACAAACCTTGGTGCATTAAATGAATACCTTTTGCACATTTGTCAGTTAACTTTTCCAAATCACCACTTCACCTAAATCTTTTCCTTTTGTTTCTAGAGCTGTCCAGATATCCCTTCGTATCTGTGAGGTCTCCATCTGTAGCATGAGTATAAGAGCAGCCTGGAGCCACTATTGTCTGGCAGACAGAATGGATTACTCAGCTAATTTCTCCCCCATGGTTACTCTATTCACTGGCCCTTAATTGCAGCCCCATGCTGCTAAAATGACACTCAGCTGTCACCGGTATGCGCTGCACTGACATCCTGATGTTATTCTGTGGAGTCTTCAGGGACAAAGCAGAAGGTACAAAGATAAGAGGCCTCATGATTGAACATAAGTTACGGACTGTGCTGAAGTAAAGAGGAAAGTAGTACATCAAAGTTAACAGGGTGTGAGCCATGAGACAGTTACACCAGCCAGCAAATAGCTCATATTTTCTAACAATCTGAAGTGTTTAAGGAGCTTGAAAAGAAAAGCGTCTAGACTTCTTTAAGTTGCTTGAAGACGTTTCACCTCTCATCCGAGAAGCTTCTTCAGGTCAGAAGAAGCTTCAGGTCAGAACTGAACTCTTCAGCATAAGCCCTTCAAGCTTACATGTGCTGCAGATATGATGAGGCAGAGGCGGAAAATGGGTGGGGGTGCTCTGGATAGAGGATTTTGTCATGTAATTTACCTTAATTGGACGGCCAAACATATTAAAACCCAACTATAACACTTCTCACCATTGCCAATATTAACATAACTAAAAAGGGTATGCACAACAGTCCTCCAGACATGGGCATGTGTGGTACCACATTTGAACAGATTAGTAATTACAATATTAAACCTTTCAGGAATATCCTCTATATTCTTTAAAGTTTAATAAGGCAAAAAATGACAAACAAAAAATTACAAAAAGGAAAAAAACAAACAGTAACAATAACTAACAAAAAAGGGACTACATTGCTTTGTTGCATTAGGTGATACTCATTGGGTGTCTTTCATTCTAAGACTGTGTAAGACTGGAAACTTGAAAATTGTGCACATAGGAGCTTTAGAGTAATTGTTTTTGAAATGATCAATTTGTTAAAGGAAAAAGTTTTCAGTTTACAACAATCTCAAATCATAGCTTACCGATCATCATCCTCAGCCAGTGCTACCTTCTCAAAGTGGATGTGGAGCCTCTGGCCCTCAGGGGCCTCCAGCAGCCAGTGGCAGGTTAGGTTGTTGCTGTAGTTGCTCGGAAAACCAGGAGAGACAATCCGACCAACTGTGATGTTCCTCACCAAACCTCCACAGGCAGCTGAAAAACAAGAAGGAATGGAACTGAACATCAAATTAAACTGTGGTGGATTTCACATTATGTAGTGAATCTCAGTCAAATTTACTTGTACTGACATCATCTCATTCTCTATTACCCTAACTTAATAACCAAACTCAAACTGGTGACCATGAAAAAAAAACAAGAACCAGCCTAATAAGACTGCTTTTAGTATTTGAAAGCATTCAGACATTTGCCAACATCAAAATTTATTATAGCAAAAATTATTTATATTTCCCTTAATTTTAACATTATAAATTGTAAACTTAAAAAGCATAAATTTGATCCATCTACTGCATAATTTGATTATCATCATTAGTATCACACCACTGCTGCTCTGCTGTCAAGTGCTGTTACAATAATTTTAGTAAGTCAACACTTCCTGATACTGTTAGTTGTTATCAAGTAGCTAGTGTAGTACTGTTTGTACTATATTATGAAATTTCCATTGCAGAAAAATAATGTGAATGTCTGGATGAAATAAAGCCTTTTGGGTTGTGCTAACAGCAGCCAAAGAAGAAACAATGCAAACTGGAGGTGACTACATAAAGAATACAACTGTCTAAATACACTTGTACATTTTACAATGAACAAGAAATGTAAGAAATGTGAATAGCATCAATTATTATTATGTAAAATAATTCTGTAGGAAAACCATTTAATTGCTGTCTGTCTGAGTAATTCACACTGTCAGTAGTTTTCAATTAAATCTACCTTCTACCAAGAAATGAACCTATCAACAGTAGATACACGACTTGATACAACTGCATGTAGGTGAGAAAATAGCTTTTGTTAATATTCAAGCTGTAATCAAGAATTTAGATCGTCAAGCTGTTCCTAAGACCGTGTTGTTCTGTCCTTCCTGAAATCTGCTGGCAAGACTCGCCCAGTTTGGAGGTCACAGGCCTGAGTGTTCTGATTACCATGGAGACCACTGATGCCTTTACCCTCCACATCTTTTCCAGTTACCTCTCAGCCCTTCTCAAGCTTCATGTGTCCTTTCTTCCTGATGTTGCTATCAGTTACTATTTCCACATCTATCACCAGAGATGGGCAGTAACGCGTTACTTGTAACGTGTTACTGTAATCCGATTACTTTTTTCAAGTAACGAGTAAAGTAAG